GCCCGCATGACCCGGGTGGCTTGTGAAGCTAGCATCCCTTTTATATCTCCTCTGTGGGTGTTTCTCTGTCTTGCACAGGTCCTGGCTAGTTGTGACTTTCATTAAGGATTACTGGTGTAACTACAGTAATACTATTATAGTTTGTATTTTCATTCTGACAAAAAATAGAAAGAAAAGATAATGGTGTTGAAACGGATGATGAAGCCATGGACACTGATGACGTATCAGAGACGAGGAGGCTTCCCACGTTCAGCGATTACTTCATCATCTATCCTACCCAGGCAGGTGAGACAGGGAGGGTAGACAGTGGCAAGGTACAATCTTCCAGTGGGTTTAGGTTTTTCCTAATGACTTTTAGCATTTTTTTTTATTTGTGCTCTGAAAATTAATGTATCTAAGGAGAAACTTGCCTTAATCCCCCCATCTCTCTTTAAAAAAATGTTACCACTTTTAGATATGGAGGCTTCGCATCTTACTGTTCATTCTTCCAAGAAGGTGCCAACCTCTTAGCAAAGTGTCCAATGGGAAATACATAAGATAATTGGCTTTCCTGTGAAAAAGAACTGGGCCCAAAAACTAGTTCTGCCCCCTGCTTTCTTTGAGACCTTGAGTGTTTTTTAGCTAGTAGACTTGCAGTTTCTTCAGGTCAAACAAGAATGCCAAAATTTAGGTAGGTCATTGGGATGCTATATGAGATGAATTAGGTAGTGCAGATGTGCTTAAATAAATAACTGGCATATAAATACAAAAAGATTACTAACATATTATGCTAATAACATTATTGTCATCATTATTACCAATACTGTTATTAATAATAAGGTAAACTCCAAAATAATTTTGTGTGTGGAAGGGGTGGACCAGAGTCACATGTCAGGGAAACAGGAAAATGTGAGAAAGATAGAAAGAGCTAAGTAGTCAAGGACATCTATTTAATCTTGACTTCCTTCATAAAGGATTGAGGTAGTTTATGAAAATATGTATGCAATTCAAGATAAATTGTTAGTGAAGCAATGGAAGCACAGGAAAGTAAGGGCATTCACCTAAAATGAAACATACTTTGGGTGAGACACTGAAAATGTCCCCATTAAAGTTATATGTGGGATTCCGCTCCTTGGTCATTTACCCACAAGAGTAGAAAGCCTGGGCCTCACAGAGGTTTGCACCCAAATATTCATAGCAGCTCTATTTGAAATAGACTGGAAACATCCTGAAGGACATCAACATGTGAGTGAACAAGCAAACACGGGTATGTCATATGTGGAATCCTGCTGATAAACACATAGTGAAAATACGCATTGGATCACTTTATGATCCCATGTGTATAAAGTTCAAAAACAGGCAAAACTCAACTGTGGTGTTCCTTATCGCTAGTGTCTGTCGCTTCCTTCTATTCTTGATGAATCTTGCCAGCGTTTATTTACCTAATTAAGAACCTGTTTTTAGTTTTGTTAATCCTCTCTAGCATATGTCTTTTTCTGATTTCATTCATTTGGCTCTCTTATTTCCATTTGTCTCCGTTTTGGGAGGTTTATTCTACTCTTCTTTTCCCAACCATTTCAATTAGGTACTTGGTTCATTAATGTCCTACTGTTTAAAAATACGAGCATTTTAAAAGCTATAATCCCCTCTGACTGTTGCTTTCACTGTATCCCTCACAGTTCAACATGTAACATTTTTATTCTTCATTTCTAAGAATTTTAGATTTCCACAATTCTTTATTCATTAGTTATTGTGAAACGTGCCTCCAAATTTCTGGTGTAGGGATTTAATTGAGAAGGACTATGGATCATAATGGCAGTCTGAAATTTGTCAAGACCTGATCTGTGCCTCGGCCTATCAATGACTATTAGACTTTCATAAATATTCTACATGTTCTTGAGAACATGCTCTCCCTTCGTTCAGTGCAGGATTCCAAATATTTCTATAAATTAAGCTTAGTTGTGTTCAAATGTTTTACATCTCTGCTAAGTTCACCTGCTTGGCCTGCCAGTAATTGAAATAAGATAACATGTTGTGTTATTATGGTAGATTTGTCAGTTTCTTTTATAATTTTGTTGTCTTTTTGTGTTTTCTTTCTATACTTTGAGGCAACTTTAGTAGAGGCAAACAGAATTGTGTGAGAAATAGTTTAATCACTGTTTAGTGAACTTACTACCCAAAAGCAGCCTCTTTTAGGGTTTGTTTTGTCTGGTATTTATGTCAGTACCCAAATCTTCTTTCAGTCTATATTTGCCTGGTACATCTCCTTCAGATCTTTTTCTGGTAGACTTTCTGGACCCTGACGTTTTAGGAGGGTCTCTTTTAAGCAGAATATAGCTGGATTTTGTTTCTTAATCCAGTCTGATATTGTCAACCTTTTAACTGGTGAGTTAGGACAATTTATATTTGTTGTGACTATTAATATATTTTCATTTTTACCATTTTACTTTGTGCTGTTTATTTTTCTTTGCTTTTTTCCCTTACTTGATTGTTCTTGTTTTTGAGTGATTGTGAGTTTACCTTGTTACTGTTAAATGTTCTCTGCCTACTGACATGGAAGGTATGCATTCCCTATATCTTCTCATGGTCCTCCATGAAATTATATACATGTGCACTTTCTCTGTAGTTAACAAACAGCTTATTAATTCTCTCTGATGATACCAGAAACCTTAGAACACTAATTCTCATCACCTTCTTCCACACTTAAGCACCACTTCCATTTAACATTTATTTCTGTTCCTTTTTGTATCTTGCTTAGCACTCTTCATTTATATAAAAGTATTTATGTATTCTTAACTTCCTTTTCTGCCCTGATTTTCTTTGGAATTAAAATGTTAATCCAACACACTTTTATCAGGTATGTTGGCACATTTAGGGTGGCGAGCACTGTTCTGGGCACCCCACAAATTAGAACATTATGCCAATAATTTATACAGTCTATGTCTGTTTTTATTTACCCATGTGTTTAGCATTTTCTTTGTCCTCTATCCCATTCTGAATCTCAGACCATGCTTCTGGGTTCATTTTCTTTCCTCCTTAGAAATTCATTTAAGGGTGATTTATGGGCAGTAAATTCACTTTATTACCCAAACCTGGCTGACTAACGGACAGTACCTTCTTTGTTCCTTGTTGTGATCCTATCTTCTATTTCTTTAAACATTTCATGCAGTTAGATTTGTTTCTAATGCAATACCTGAAATTTTGGGGGTCACTCATTGGGTGTTTCTGTTGACTGTTGCTCTTTGAGGCTCATTTGTTTGTGTGTTTGAATCTTAATTTATAGGACTCCTGGGGGCACAGAGAGAATACTTCTCTTTAGGGAGAATTATCACCCTCTGGACCCCTGCAGCTCTCCTCAGGGTCACAGGGTGAACGCATTCGTCTCCCCTGCTCCCTGGGCATGCCTCCCATGCTCTTGCTTCCAGGTGCCTGCCTGGCCCTTTAGGCACCCTGTGGCTCTGTTTTCCATGTTTGCTCTCTGCTCATAGATCAGGTTTCAACGTCCTCATTTGGAAGAATGGGGTACCTTGGAGCTTTCTGTTTTCCTGTCAGCCCAGGATAGCATGAAAATGCTTACTTTAATCAAGTTTTGTAGCTGGAGGGGTATTTAATGTGTATAGTGTCAAAGTGGGAAGCTTGGGATCTGTGTTAAATTCTTTTAAAGTCATCCATTTTTTTATCTCAATGGACGACACATAAAATGTCTGGCAGTACCAAGTATGTGCGGATGTGACGCCACAGCGGCTTCCACATGTCATTAATGAGCGCAAGCTATCACTGCCTCTCTGGAGAACAATGTGCAATACCCAGTGAAGTTAAAATATGTTTGTTCCTTGACCCAGTACTTTCACTTCTGGGTATAGACTAGTGCTATGGTCCCAAACCAGGGGGCCACAGTGCGGCCTCACAGCTGTACTTGACTCTGTGGACCACTAGCTTGAGGTAGGTATGGTTTTTTAAGTCAGATGGGGCACCGTTCCCTGAATGGTAGCATATCTTTTGTGTAGCTAGCTGTTAGAGGGTTGCTGAGCCAAGGGGTAAATACCAGTGGCGGCCTAGGCTGGGAAGTCATGCAGTCTCCAACAGGTGCATGCACCAGGAGTAAATAGTTGTGATTATCTAAGAATGAAATTAAAATGCTGTTTTTTCTCTCAGTTTATGTGGGGTTTTCCTGAAGTAACTTTCCCCAGTAAGTTACTCGAATATAAATACCAACTTTAGCCCTAACTGCTTTGATAAATGGAAAAAATCACTGAGGCACTGAGAGCACCGGGACTGAGTAAGTTTGGAAACCTGTGTCCTCAAGAACCTTCTGCACATGTGCATGGATAAGGTGACCAGCTGCCCCAGTTTTTTGGAGACCAAGGGGTTTCTGGGGATACTGGAATTTTCAGTGCTAAAACTGGGCAAATGGGCAAATCAAGATGTGTTGCGCCTGCTAATGTGGGTGCTTCTTTGAAATTGTTTATGTCAGGAGAATTAAAGTGGAAGGAGGCTAACAGTCTTTGGTATATTCAGGCAGTGGGAAACTGTGCCAGAGTTGAAAGAATTGTCGTGGGAATGTTTTAAGTGTAATGACAAGTGAAGATAAGACAGTTCTAACATAATACTTATTATACTATATACCTTTAATGTAAAGATTTTAAAATATAAGAAGATGCAGTATATTATTGCTGAATAATTAGCCAGTAAAATGTGAAAATATGGACAGAAAGAATAACTAACACCTTTGGGATGGGGACTGCCTCTGGGAGAGGCAGGGAAGGTAGGGAAGGAAGAGCCAGAAAGTAATTTTGGAGGAATTCAAGGGAGGCTTCAACTCAATTTCACTAGGAAAGAAGAGCTGGGCCAAATAAAGCAACATGTAAGTGGCTGTTAGATCTGGGCGTGGATGTGCAGGAGCTCATCACCCTGTTTCATGTTCTTTTGTTGGTATAAAGATTTTCAAGAAATGGGAATTGAAGAAAGGGACCAGATGCTGCAGATATAGCTAACTGATGGGGTTTTGCTCTGAAGAGAGTTGAGAAATAGGGACGCTGTCTGGATGGCAATGAGGGATCAGAGCTGTTTTGTTTGTAGTGCAGAGGCTGAGGGAATGATCCAGTAGAGAGGGGAGATTTTTAGGAGAGAACATAGGTCAACAGCTGGAGAAGCTGAAATTTTGAGCATAGTCAGTGTATGGCCTTAGACACTATATTAGGCTGATTTTTCAAGTGGAAGAAAGAAGTGGCTCTTTTCCTGCATTGGGAAGACTCTAGGAAAGGCAGACATGGGGGGTCGAGTTTGATATGGTGATTGGTCATCCC